GTATCGTCATCGGCCTCAATGATAGTGGTATCTGTAGGTAGCTCTTCTGCTTTACATGGCGCCTCGATCGGACCAATTTTGTCAGATTCTATGCCAATGACTACTAGTTCTTCGAGGATGCTCGGTCGAGTCGGTCCTGAGGCTATTGCAGAAAATTTGTATAGTTCACACCGGCGTGGACATTACCTTCAGTCTAATCACTACCATCAATTGCAGTCCATCAGTGCGGCGTCCTTCTCGGCATCAAACGATTTGGCGAATTTAACAGACTTCAGCAGGACAGTTGGTATGATGCGACAGGCACCTATTGGACAATCGACTTTTGCAGTGACTGCTGTCAGCGATCGAGTGTCTGGTGGTATTTTTCCCTCAATGACTTCTGAATCAACTGCTAGTTCCGAATTGCATGGTTCGGTTGGTGGCTTGCTGGGTAGGCTTTCCTTTTTTCATTGGATAATTTGTCTGTGTTCGAAAACGGAATGGTTTAGCCGTTCACCTTTTGCTTGAAACTGCATATTTTCTCCAGGTGAAACGGGCCATATAGTATTTTAAGTTTAGGTAAAATGCTATGCTCAGATGCCATACTTAATACTCATACCTCATGAACAAAAAATAAATGGAATGACTATGAAGCACTTGGCTACATTGTCTATCTTTACTTTTGCATGTAAACTTGGTTATTGCTTTCCTTTGTTATGGGATACTTGCTTCTTTCTATCAAAACATGCAGTTTTGAAGCAGATTACGTTAGGCATTAGGATATCCTGGGCTTGATTAGAAACTGGGTTTCGAAGAATTCCTTAATTAAATATTGTGGCATGACTCTTAATTTCGAATGGATAGTTGGTTGGAAAGAATTAGCGATGTGGTCTTACCGGAAACCGAAAGAGGATTGTCATGCAAATAAGTTTGTTGAATTGTGCGAAGAAGTCTTCGGCTCAACGTCCTGCAACCCGGATGAAACTGTGCTAAGCTTTCGTCTGTACTGTGATAGACATCATCAGAGCAAGATTCCATACTTTACGAAATTGAGCAAAAATATACTAAACAAAGAAAATAATGTGGCTGTCTGCAACCCTAGTCATCTTTTTACACATCTAAACATCGCGATCTTAATGAGGCCTCTCCTGATTTGGTTAGTTACTTCAACCTTACTCTACATGCTTGCAAATGAATGAAGTTAACTTCCCGAACCGGAAATGCGTTCGATGGTAGCTCTTTCATCACACAAAAACTAGCGTACGATCGCCTAATGCTGAATCTTGTTTGGGCTTGTGCTATTGTCTATTGTGTGTATGTAATGATCAGGTCATTGGAAGTGCAATAGTCCTAGTTAGACACGAGGCTAATCCAGCCTTCTCCTGCTCAGTGGCTTTTGCTGCGCGCTCTCCCCACCTTTTCGTAATTATATCCAGCAGCTAGAAACAGTTCCTACTTAGTTTTCTACACTCGTTCCTCCAATTCAGGACGTTGGCTGTTTTGCTAATTTATATAGACTCCTTAATCTTACGCTTTGGCGTAAAGTCCCCGTAACCCGCAAAACGTTGTGTTTTGGACAAGTCTATTAAATGTCGTGTACTGGCTGTATGTTCAGCGAGCTCAGATTTTTGGACCCACAGACCTTTACAAGCGGTTTTGTGTTCGCGTAGTCTCTTGTGAATGGGTCAGTTGGTCTTCCCCACGTATACCTTACCACATGAGCACAAAACCTTTTAACAGCCTGGTCTATAAAGAGGGTCTAAACAAAGGAAGTACTGAATAAAATGTTAATTTCTCTATACATTGTTTTTATGTTCCATTTTCTTAGAAGTTCACCCAACTTTTTCGCAGGCTGACAGAAAGGCAAAATCAGGAACCGAGCAGAAGTGTCCACTTTTATATCCCGCACCTGATAACAAACTCCCTTAAGCTTGTTAACTACAATTGATATGTAATTGCCAAAGAACCTTAATGGATAATTGTTTTGAAACAGTATATCCCTCAGGTAGGAAGACCAAGATGGTGTGGCCTTTTTTGTAGTCGCAGTATTCTTTAGTTGTATAGAAGTAGTTTGACCTTGTTTTCGCAACTTGGTCATATTGGTAGGAAGACCTAGAGGAACGCACTTAGTCTGGAGCCCATAGTATGCATGATAATTTCCAGATTCGGACCGTGGACGTGGTACATTCCTAGAAATTTCGCCGGCATCGTCAGTGGGTTTTGCCATTCCTAGCATCATACTACAACTCGTCAAAGAGACAAGTGTCCAAACGAGTGCTAAAGAGTTGTGGTTGCGTTAATTCCCACACTCTGAGTCTGGGAGACTAATTCTAGGCTAAAGCACTTGAGTAATTCCCATGGTCAAGTCTTCGTCTCATAGACCAAGTCTATTACCTCATATGCCCTAACCTCTTCTGTGCCAACTCACAAATGTTGTGGTTCAACATCGAACTTAATCAGAGCAAGCAGTACCCCAACGTTTATGGGTTGTTACACAAGAGACTAGGGCATAGCAAGTCATAGACTAGGTATTACTGATAGAAACAGGATAGACGCGGCGGAGACTGGAGCTAGTTGGCTGACAGTAGGCCTGTTTTACCATAGACTTTGTCCATGATGCAAAGGCTTGACCATGAGAATTATCCAAGGGCTTTAGCCTCGAGTTAGTCTCCCAGACGCAGAGTGTGGGAACTAACGCCTCGTGGAGCATATATGGGGTGGCATAGATCAAGTGAACTATTTGAACCAGGGAGATGGCAGACGGATCCTACGGAGCAAGAAGGAGACTCTGTTAAGACCTATGGAAGGAGGACTGCGTAACAATATGGCAGACCCTGATCCACATTTTTAGCACAAGAATGAAGGGGATAAGAATTCCAGTGTGGAGTGTGAAGGGTTCTCATGTAAGCTGCTCAAAAGGGCACACAATACAACATTTAAATAAGCAATGAAAAATTGTGATAGTGAAGGCGTGATACGAGGATATAGGATAGGTCTGCTCATACTACTTACCATCGAAGGTTAAAAATGTATTATACATTGCCAAATTTACTAATCTAATTATTGAACCTTTGCTTAACTTTTTGTTTCTTATGATTTCAGAATGTTGATCTAGAGTTAGTTCTTGCGCGTACATAGACAATTCATCGAAACTCAATAGCAAATCTCCTCTTTCCCTTCGAAATGGGGAGTCATGTCACAATACCCTGGGTTTGTTCTACTTGAATTTGCTTCGTTGGCTTAAGTCATCAGATTAGTTCATCACTTCTAAAGCTATTATATTCTCATAACAATTAACATTGAAAGCCATATAGATAGATACCGTGTTAATGCTGATTATATTTACAAGAGAATGCAGTGTAACCATTCAATAAAAGAACCACTACAGAGATATGTCCTATGGTACGCAGAGTATTTGGTTTTCCATAAAACGTTTCTCTTCATTTATTATAGCAAATAAAATCAGATACAATCTAATATCGACCTCTGATATTCATGTTTTGAAAGTTTGAGGAGCTAGGCAGGGAAAGATGTAAGGTCTCTTTCAGAACAACCAAGAGCGCAAGATCATCATATGTTGTGAATTATATATATATATATACGTATACCAGAAGTGTATAGCAGCAGTCATTTGCTGAATTTACGCAATTTTTTAGTCTAGTCTAGCAACAGTCATAAAGACAGTATATCAAACCACACTTGAAGTCATTCCTCCATGAAACCCGGTTTGGCTTCCTTATTGGGTGGACTTGAATGGGTCAACTGAAGGGGCTTAAAGTTGGACATCGCTATGCAACAGTTGTCGCGACGTCTTATTTTAAGTGCCTTGAGATGGTTCAGCTTCATCAATTACGTATTTCTTGCTAAATTCATAAGCTCCAGGGGCTAATCAGGATACCCGGACCCAAATGACTTTATTTTTCGGACAGAATAGACTGGCTCAGATACACTTAGCGAGTTGGATGATTTACGAGGCCTCCACTATTATTTCAGGAAAATAAGCTTCATTGTTAAGAATATTCTCATTTTGCCGTAATGCATGAGATGAAAAACTTCGTTGATTAGCTTTATTAGAAGACGATACTACATTTACAAGTATTTGGTCAATGCTATATTTACCATCCCTCTTTGGCGAAATCCTGTCAGGCCGAGAGAGACATCTTCAGAGTAATACAGCACTGAGCATAACCTTGCATCAAAGTAATGAAGAGCTGACTGACAAAAGACGCAGTTTGACTCTAGCTCGACCTCATTTATTCAACCTAACTTAGATGGTTTACTCCTCGTGTATTCATTCACTTGCTGGCAAATAACTTATTTATTTATTCAGTAACCATGACAAAGCTAACTTAGTCGGCATTTCCGAGCCATAAGAATATAACGGCGTTATAACGGGAATTAATTGCGCAAGACAGGACATCCGCTTGTGACTATCATAGGATGGTTAGCTTGCGAAATTTGTGTGTCGGCTGTGCTTTCCTGCAGGTTACATGTTAGATTTTGCAACTTGTAGCTCAAAATGGACAAGCTGCCTGGCGAAAGGCTCTCCTTTGCTTCACTCTCTCGCTAATTGCTATACAATATAGTAGATTGATCGTTCACACTCTGTTCTTCCACTCAGTGTCATCGGCCTATTGATTTCCACTGATTTCCTAATCCTTTGCCTCTCTGTAATGCAATAATGTCCAGGCTACTATTACACACCTCATGGCCTGTTTCTATAGCGTTCTCTGACTTCGCAGGCAGGTTAAATAATCTTCTTTCCTAATAGCCATAGGATCCATCCCATATATAGTTCTTGCCACAAAAACATGCTTTTATGGGAGCTAGATTAAGATAATGAGCCATCCCCCTCCCTAAATATCGGTATAGACATCTAAATTGTTAGTGTTTGGTTCATTGTAGTTGATCCTCCTAAGTTTTCCATCAGTTCACAATATTTCGGGAATGACCGTATTATGGTAATGCATCTTGAATTCTACTTTTCTTTCAGATTTTTTTCTGGTTATAATTCGTTAGTATTAATAAGGCCTAATAAATAACCATAATGGAGTTAAATTATCGTTTGTTCTTTATTCCACGCCCTTCATGTTCATACTTGTTCCCATAGATAGGGTTGGAAAAAAATATTTAGTAGCGTGCATGCATACTTTCTCACATGCCTCTATCTTTCTTCAGTTCTTTTTCTTACTCCCTGGAATTCCAACAAATTGAGTAAATTTGTCTTTCTTATTAGCATTGATGAATCCAATTTTATCATAGATTTCATTCATCTGTGCAAGTAAGTCACATGAGTTTTATTTTACATGTTTCAAATGACATATTAACGGTCAATATGATTTGCAAATTTAATAATAGCTGGGCCCTGTGATGCAAGCGTCCCGTCATTCTTGAATTTTCAGGACAACACCAGAACCGATTACAAGAGTTCGTATGTATTTATTCGAGTGCTCATTAAACTTAAGTTGTAAAGTATTTACCGCCAAGTCTTTCCATGAAAACTATTATTCTCTCAAATGTATTGAATT